AAAATCCATGGCTGACACCAAGCATTTCATGAATTCCGTCTTGTTCAACTCAGCTTCCACTTCTTCTGATTCTTCTACTGCTGGGTTTTCCTCCTCTGAGTCAGACTCCTTTTATACTACCACTACTACAGCTAGGTCAACTTCATCGTCTCCAACTTACACCACCCCACGCAGACCTAACCCTATCAGAACAACGTCAGCCGCCGGCTATGCTCTGCCCGAGAAGTCTCGTCATGTCATGATGGAAAATACCCATAAAAGTAAGTCCGATCATAAGCGTGAAGATCATGGTGGTTTCGTCAGGACGAAATCCAAGGCCTTAAAAATTTACAGCGATCTCAAGAAGGGTAAGCAGCCTATATCACCAGGCGGTCGTCTTGCTACGTTTCTCAACTCTCTTTTCACAGCCGGAAACGGCAAGAAGGTTTCCAAGATTTCATCTTCCTCGGCGACAAACGAAGAACAAACGCCGACTTGCTCGTCTGCTTCCTCTTTTTCACGATCTTGCTTGAGCAAGACCCCGTCTTCGCGTACAAAATCCAACAGTAACGGCACTAAAAGGTCTGTTAGGTTCTGCCCTGTCAGTGTTATCGTCGACGAGGACTGCAGGCCTTGTGGCCATAAATCTCTCTATAACCAAACCCAGTTCATGACAGAAAGTAACGAAAGAGTCGACCACGATCAGTGGCGAGTTATGGAGGAGAATCGGCGTGTAGTTCAGGCTGCAAAGGATCTTCTGAAGAGTTACCGGCAGAACAAAGTGGAGTTCGACATGAGAGATCATGTTATCAGCCATCAAAAGAAAGTGAGATGTTATGATAATGTAGAGGAGGGTGAAGAAGAAGAAGATGATGATGATGCAGCAAGTTGTTCCAGCTCCGATCTCTTTGAGTTAGATAATCTTTCGGCTATTGGGATTGAGAGGTACAGTGAAGAGTTACCGGTATATGAAACAACTAATCTGGGTACTAATCGAGCTATTGCTAATGGGCTGATCCTGTAATTTAATTCCAACCAACAAAAAAGAAAAGGACAGAGAAGAGAAGGTGGGGATTAATTAATTTAGTTTTCTTTCTTTCTTTTTTTTTTTTTTTTTTTTTTGTTTTCTTAATTAATGGTTTGGGGGTTAATTATTATAATTATATCAGAGAATAAGATTAATTTCTCTCTTAATTTTCCTTTTGGTGTAACATACTGCTTTAAATTAATTAGCTGCTGATCTATTTTGGTTTTTTTTTTTTTTTTTAATTAATTTTTTTTTTCTGACTTTCTTTGTAAAAATGATAATGATAAATATAAATATAGATGTGAAAAGGAACAGTAAAGAGGATGAAGATGAAGTTAAAAGCAAAGGCAGATTTTCTACTCCTATCATCCATGGGAAGAAATAAAGAAAGAGCTTTTTCTTTTTCAGTCACTATGTGGGTCCTAAATTGCTTCAACATAAATAAACTCTCTCTCTCTCTCTAACATATATTCTCTCCATGTTTATACATATATTTGTTATTAATTAGTAAAAAAAAACAAAAAACAAAAGCATTTAATTCATACCCTCTTAAAATACTAATCTTGTTTTGTATCGTTAAAATTAAAGATTTAAATTTAAACGATACCATAAGTATAATTAAGAGAGTAATTAAGAGAAATAGGGAAAGAAAGAATGATGGACGGTCTCCAAAGGAGAGAACAAAAGAATCTAATATTTGATTTGCAAAACCCTTGATGTCAAATATGGTTGGCTTGTGAGATATAATAATAAGCATGCAAAGTTGTTCTCTCAATTTTTCTAAAATATATTCCCCTTCATCATCTTCAAACCAAATCCTCTGTTCCTTACACTTTATATAATCATCTGTCTACCCAAATACAGCCTATATTTTCTTCATGTATATGCATATGGTTTTAATTCCAGAAAATTTATTCTTATAATAATAACTAAGTAATGGGTATTTATATATACGTATACATGTGTAGTGGGTGTACAATAAAAATGTAAAATATTATTATATGTAGGAATTAGCAAAGACTCATGAGGACCACTAAATCATAACAGTGCGATATGGTAATTAAGTTATCATGATATTCATACTTAAGAAAACAATAATTTAAGCTGACAAAAATAATGGACTTAGCTTGGACTATAGAAAAAAAAAGCCTATGCCATATCTATGGGTCAAAAAGTATCGTAGCCTCACAAAGTTTATTAATCTCCATACACATATATGAAATTGAAATTAATTTGACAATAAGTATAGAAAAAATTATATTCTAGCGATTAAATTATATCTTCTTTGATTAATGTCCTCGTTATATATAATTATACGAAGACTTCTTAAAAAAAAAAAAAAAAAAAGATAATTAGATGATGGTGATGATGATGATACATAATATCGATATGTATGTATACATCCCATGTGGTTGGTGGAATTGTGGGGGTTCGAGGAAGTTGACATGAAATCAATAATGGGGTTAGTAGGCGGGACTCCATTTCATGCACATCCTACCTCCCTCCATCCATACACAGTGGTTGACTCTTAAACACTAAGTGAAATCATGATTATTATATACTTACATTTCTTGTATCGGGGTGGTAATTATTATTATTATTATTATTATTTTTTTAGGGGTAAAAAGTTGGTGCTCGACTTAATAATTTCTGTGAATTTTTATTATTTATTTATTTATTTTTTTATATGATAAAAAATATCATACTAAAATTTTAACATTTCTATATATCTAGCTAGTTCAAGATTCAAATTTCAAATAATTATTTCTTAATTTTTTCTTTTACATTATGATAAAATTTTTTCTTTCATTGACCATTTAAACATTTAAGGACCCAAAGTCTATTTCAAGACGTTAGAGACATAAAAACTTGGGTTAAATTCCAATAAAACTTTCTTTGTTCATTGTTGAAATGAATCCAAAGGATAATACTTTTATATTTTCGACAAATGAAAGATTTTGTTTAAAAGATATTTTTCTTAAAAGAACAACTATTGACGAAACAGAAAAATAGAACTTAAAAAAAATAATGATCTTCACACAAATAATGATATTAAATTCTTAAAGAGAGAATCAGAATCTCATAACTTATAGATAATGATGGAGAACATCGATTATGTAAAACAACAAGAAACTATAAATTTCAAAATAAATTCATGTATCCTAATAATGTTTGAAATTTAGTAGATGTACTTTATAAAAAAATTCTTATAAATTGTAAATGTACTTATAAAAGAAAAGTGGGAGTAGATTGGAATTTGAAAACATTTAAGGAGAGCTCGTATTAAAATGGTGTTGATAGATGCAAAAGAATTGACTTATGCGAAACTTTTTTTTTTTTTTGCTCACAGTCATGCTTAAATCTATTTAAACTTCTAATTGTTATAATAGTTTTTTAGCGAATATGATAAACGATAAATGAATGTTAAGATAATATTTTTTAATAGAAATATTAATTAGAGATACATATGACACGAAAAGAGAGATTCAAATGCATTACTTGTCTTTACTAGGTTTACGAGTTACAAATATCTATTTATGAACTAAAACAAATTTCTCATAGTTGGAACTCTTTATTTTGATTATGTAATTCAAGAATTTATTTTCATAAAAAAATAAAGATGATCCCTTGTTAGCAAAAGTTAGTAGGAGAAAATACTATTACTTCACTAAATAGTATGTGTGCTAATTCTAAACTTTATATTTAAGGTTTTAACAACATAAACGCTTAAATTATATTCCAATTTGCTCAATTGCGGAAATAATAATATTTTAAATGTTAATTTTTTTTTTTGTTTATATACAGTTTAAATTATTTAAATTAATTATTTTTTTTCTATTAATATTTATATTATGTGTCATCAAATTTAACATGTAATATTATTTAATAAATAATTTAAAAATATTAAATATTACATAATATTTAACATAAAAAAAAAAACAAATTTATTTTACATAAACGGTCCAAAAATTGAGAAACAAAAAGTGTAATTTAATGTGTTTAGTCCAAAGTATAGAGTGCGAGGGGATCAATTTGATTTTTTGTCAAGATGAATTTGTATCTATACACACACACATATATATATATATATATATATATTGGGTTGGAAACTCTGTTCAAATTCAAATCTTATGAAGATTGATTATTTTCATAAAGCTTAAAAAGAAAAGAAAAGAAAAAAAAAAAAAAAAAGAGAGAGAAATGGGCCCCAGAGAGAAATAAACACTTTAGGCCGCACGTGATTGGTGGCCAGCATGTCCCTAATCATGTCACCCACTCACACGTGTGCATCCATCACTGATCCCAATAAGATCCTCTTCCTCCTACTCTCTCAAATTTTCCTTTTTTTTTTTAAAAAAAAAAAAAAAATTGATCAAATATGCTCCCTACTGCCTAGCAACCATCAGCACCACTCATATTACGACACGTGTACGACTGTCAGAACACGTGTGCATAATTTGAGAAGGTGTTGAAAACTGATGTGGGAAAAGGAAGAGAGCAGAGGAGGAAGGAAGGAGCTGGGTTGAGCTGAGCCTGAGCAGCTTTAATTTTTTTTTTTTTAAATAAATTTGATAAAATGGAAAGAAAAAGTGAAAGTAAGAATTTTGGTGATCCCGAGAAGATTATTAATACAACAACACGGCTTCTTCACTCGTTTTGTTCAAACAAGCTGATTTAAGCCTTGCAGCTTTTTCTTTTTGATCTTTAGAAAATAAAAATTTTTATGTATTCACACATGCTGACATCTTCATTCATCACCATCTGCCTTTTTCTTTTCTTCCCATGGGAACTTACATTTTTCGTCACCCTTCTTCTTTACTTTTTCACATTCATCAATCACACTTTCATACCTCCACTATCTAGTTTTTAACTTACTACTTCCTCGTTTGGAATAGTTTTTTAAACTTCTGTTGAAACGTTAGATTTAGATTTAAGTTTAAATATGATTTGCATTGTGTCCCCAAAAGAACAATTTGCCAACCGGGTACTGGGACTCGGAATGGGGGGGGGGGGAGTTTAGCAAGCGAATGTTGAATGGAGATGGTACTGCTTACCCCGAATTGGTTATTTCGCACTTTCCAAGTGTTGGAATTCAATCTCGATAGACCTCTCTCAACTTCTACAACATTCTAATTTAAGAAAATTATCATCTGCTGACATACAAAATGAGAAGGAGTTCAGACTTCAACTTTTAATGGAACCTATATGGAACAATACATAGCCATTAACAACGTCAACAAGTGCAAATGAAGTGTTTTTATCATTAATTTATAGATGATCCGATCTGGTTGTTAAATAATTTCTTAATTCATACCTAAACAGCGAATCTCTTGTTTTTACTTAACTTTTACTCCAATTTGTAGCAATACGAATAATTAATCATGCATTGATAATTCAAATGATTAAGTGATTAACAGCGGGTTTGAAATGGATTGTAGGGCCACCTCCTGCTAATATGCATACACAATTCTTTTCCTACGTACATACATATGTGTGTGTGTATACATAGAGGAGACTTGAATAAATTTGGATTGAGATGGTGGGTCTGAGTTGAGGCAATTAGTAATGAGTATAGGAAATTGTTGTGAAATATGAATGAGTTGGCAATTGATGCTTCAGAAGTTTGTAGGCATTCATTCAACAAGAATGATGAGATGGGAGTGGCTCTTCTTTTCATTATGAAAACAAACAAAACAAAACAAAACAATGCAATTCTCTCTATGCATTTTCCATTTGCAAGAAACTTGCACTCTTGATGTGATATATACACATATATATATATATATTGAAAGTAATCTATATATAAATATTATTAATTCCCAAGCTAGGTCTTTTTTTTTTATTTATTTTTTTAAAAAAGGTTGAAAACATATATAGGTACGTAAAGTTAATTAACCGTGTAGCTATTAACCTACAATTATATATCCCTTTCTTTTCTCTACATATATATATATATATTGTGTATATATTAATTAAAACCACGTTTGATTATGAAGATGCCGATGATGGTTATGTAGATGATGATTAAATCCATGAAACGATAATGATTGCTGTGATTAATAATTAATATATATAATGAGAGAGCATGACTTTCCACTTAGGTTGTTGATGAATGTGTGTGTGTGTATATATATATATGTATAACTATATCTGTAACTGCACTTTTTATTCATCTTCATCTCCTGCGTGTTAACACTTTAATCTTTAATTCAATTAGTTACTTGAGGCACACAGCATCTTAATTAATTATTTGACATATAATAATTTGGCTCTCTTTTGTGTGTGTGCGTGTATATTATATCAATATAGACATGCATGGATGCTTCACACATGACGTATAGCAAGCAGTACGTGTTAAATGAATTTAACTACCAAGCTAATAGATTGGTGATGAAATTATATGTATATATATATATAATTTTCTAATTATACATTTGTATTTATCCCAACAACCTGTTTATCAAACTGTTGCAATTGATATTTCTCATTATCTATTATAAGAAAGAAACACATGTATCTTCAATCGGGTAATTCTTGAAGTTGCTCATATAAAATAAAAATTAATATAAATTTCAATTTTGATACAAATAAACTTCATTACGATAAATGTTGAAGAGACAAAAATAGAGATTTGATGATGGACCAAAATTGACTACTAATGATCTGTTCATGGCAAGGAATAGAGATTTCGATTGGGACTTGTTTCTAACAAAATAAAATAAAATAAAATAAAATAAAATTTAAAAATCAGGGAAAGAAAAGAAGTAAAGTGAATGTAATTATTAAAAAAAAAAAATTATCAAATTTAATTAACTTGTTTCTACTGTATATACGAAGGATTGTAGTTTATTTTTTTTGGAATATAAATTTATAAATAATATTTTTGTATCGTTTGATTACTTGAACGTAAATGAATTTTCAAACATGATTAGAAGAAAAAAATAGTCCTAATCTGATGTTACATATTGGTATGTCTTTTATTAAAAAAAAAAAAAAAAAAAAATTATTCCAATTGTGGACCAGAAAAACCCGAAAAGAAAAATTGTTTGAATTATTTGATGTGATTTATATTCAACTGTCCATAATAGTGTTTAGATTTTGAAAATTATTGGTGAAACTTAAATATACCATATATATAATATATATACACACATAATATGACAGAAGAGAGGAGAGTCAGTTCTGGGTCTTTTTCATAATAAATTCGGTATCAGTTCATGTCCAGTGATTTTGGTCTATCAGTTGATTATCCTAAATTCCTTGTAACGTACCTTAAGAAAAATTATTTTACTGGTTTTCCATCTCTGAAAATTCCTATTTGGACCTTGTGGTGGCTGACTAGCTTTTGGGCATAAGCAATGCTGACCCAGATGGAATTTCTAGGGCTTGGGCCTCAACTTTTTGAGTTGAGTTCTTGGTGAAAGATAATCGTTATAACCCAAACCTATAAAATCAAAATTTAAAACCTACCTAACAGTCGAGTTCTTACCAGCTTAATCGACCTTTTGCACGATCGCACACAGAAACTGAAGCCTCTGCTGACGGGAAGAGAAGCTAAGATTGGATACAGTTCCACTCGTCACCCCGCCCCGCTGCATTTTACCAAGCACTATCAACATGAGCTTTCTCTTTGGCACGAGAAAAACCCCCGCTGGTATTTCATTGGATTCCTTTTTCTTTCTTGAAATATAAAACCATCTCTTCTTTACGTCTCTGGTTTCCCCGGTTTCTACTCTTCTCGTATTTTCAATTTCATTTCAGTTTTCGTATTTACTGATACATTTTCGTATCCAAGACTTCCTTTCAGTTCTTTTTTTCCGATTCGTTGCGGTAGCTTTGAATACGTGGGTGGGGTATTTCCGACCTTGATTGTTCCACGGGAGTTTAGGGTTTAACATTGAGATTGCAATTTTATCTTCTGTCGTTCCTTTTGAGTTTAGGGTTTAACATTGAAATTGAATTTCTTTTATTTGGGCATTTGAATTTTTTTCGTAAGATGAATACTTAGCTCTCTCTTTTCCCCTTTTGGGGTTTTTTTTCTTTGCTGCTAATTGATTTCGATTTTTGAAATTATAATTATGTCACTGAATAATTTGCCTTTGATTTTATTGTTTTGGAAATTCTGAATGCAGAACGATTGCGGGAAAATAAGAGGATGCTAGATAAGTCAATAAGGGAAATAGAAAGAGAAAGACAAGGTTTACAGGCGCAAGAGAAAAAGCTGATTACAGAGATTAAGAAAAATGCTAAACAAGGGCAGATGGTATTTTATTCTTTTGGTATATGCAAAATGTAAATGCTGATACCCTTATGACTACGCTGCATGATTCTGGTGAGACTAATTATTTGTGTGAGGGATCCGTACTTCCCAGTCCTTATTGTGCAGTTGAATCGTCTTTAGGTTTTCGTATGTTTGAGACTAGGCTGTAGTAAAAATTGATGAAGAATTGCTTGTTGGATTGAGCAGAATGATGCAGTGGTTTGATGATTGTGCTTCGCTTTCGTTTTCCATTGTATTATGACGAAATGAATTGGACAGGATAGTGAAAGTAAAAACATGTGGACAAATAGAACTAGAAAAAAAAAAAAAAGAGTCAAGAAGGATATCTTTTGGGAAATTTTATTAAATTTGACTTTGATTTACAAATAGAATTTTTTTGGTTGTAAATACGCATGTCTCTGTGACACAGAAATGGAGGTTCTCTTTTTAGTGCGAGCAAATTTCATTTAGGTTGTGAAATGTAAGAGTATTCTTTTGGATGTCTCAGATGAATGCCTGAAGTAAAGAGATTCAGATGGCGATGGAAGTTAAGCGGGATCAGTAAATGTCCTCCTATTTATCTTTATAAACTGAAATTAGTTGCATTTAACTGTCCAATGTTGGTTGCATTGAGTTTCACCTCCTTCATGACTAGTTGTTTATTTGGTTGGCTAGGTGAAGCAATTGAGGCATATTTATCTAATCATAGTGTACAATTGGAACAATGATTAGCTGTGGTGCCATATATGATCTTCTTAGAAAGTCAAGCAGTTTTAATGGGTTTTGCATAATTTTATGTACTTTTTCATGGCACTGAACAAAGCCTTTTTTTGTTTTTCCTTTTCTTTTCCATCTGTGAAACAGATTACCACACGAACTGATGCATTTCAAAAACATATTTAAATGCATGCATTCTCTTCTGAGTATTGTTTATCTTTGTTTCAGGGAGCTGTTAGAGTGATGGCTAAAGATCTTATTAGAACACGACATCAGATTGAAAAGTTTTATAAGCTTAAATCACAGTTACAGGGTGTGGCTCTGAGAATTCAGGTATATCCTGCAGTATAATGTTTGTTCCTGTTGTGGATACTTTGGTTCACATTCTACACACTTTAATTTGCTATTTGTCTATTACCATATTTTGAACCGTGTTGTTATTTAGAAAAATAAGTGTAGATATATATGCCTTAAATTGTTAGAAATTCTTTGAGACTTATGTAGGAGTGCGACAATCTCCATTGAATCACTTCTACAAACAGCATGACATGATTTTTGCTCTTCTCTACAAGTGGGGTTCACCCTTTTAGAAAATTAAGTATAGATATCTGTGCCTTAAATTGTTAGAAATTCATTGAGACTTATGTAGGAGTGCGACAATCTCCATCGAATCACTTCCACAAACAGCATGACATGATTTTTGCTCTTCTCTACAAGTGGGGTTCACCCTTCATTTTTAGGAGTGCAAGCTCTTCTAATTACTTTTTTTTTTTCACTAAACACGTAGTTTGTCCTAGGATGTACATGTGCTATTGGTAATATAGCACTAGGTGAGTTCAAACCTGTTGGCAATATAGGACTAGGTGAGTTCAAACCTAAAACCTTCTGTACGAGCAGATGTCTTTGGCCATCAGGCCAAGCATGGCCAAGTGCTCAACCCTTCTACTTATGCTTCTTGATAAACGGTTTAGATCAAGAATCCTTTTTTTTTTTTTTTTTTTCTATTTTAATGAGTGTGGTTTACCCCTGTAATTCTATGGAAAAAAGTTATTCATACCTGCAGCAGTTATATTTTAGTGCTGTAAAGCTGTCAATACAAAGCTTTAGTGTCTGTTTGGTTTGGGAAACTAAGTTTTATCACTGGAAGAGTCGGGCACATTTTAATTTGTGTTCTTCCATTTGTCTCTTTTAGGATCCTGTAATTAAACATTTCTAGGGCCTGGATCTTAATTTTCTGTAGTCTAACTAGCATTCCTTGAGCTTTTATGCAACTAATAAAAATGTTAAAAATTTGCCTCTGTGTTGTTGAACTTTTCAGACATTGAAATCTACTCAAGCAATGGGTGAGGCCATGAAAGGTGTCACAAAGGCAATGGGTCAGATGAACAGGCAGATGAACTTGCCATCTCTGCAGAGGATAATGCAGGAATTTGAGAGGCAGAATGAGAAGATGGAATTGGTGAGTGAGGTAATGGGAGATGCTATAGATGATGCATTAGAAGCGGAGGAAGAAGAGCAAGAGACAGAAGAGCTCGTGAATCAAGTGCTTGATGAGATTGGAATAAACATCAATCAAGAGGTACATCTGTCATTCCATCGACTCAATTTTCTGAGTTTACTTTTTATTTATGTCATTCTATCAGCCAAAGTAATTTGGGAGCAACTTAATGTGCATGTTTTGTTTCAAATGCAGCTAGTTAATGCACCCTCGGCTGCTGTCAGCACTACAGCTGCAAAGAACAAGGTTGCCGAAGCTGAATTGACTGGAAATGCAGATGCTGGAATTGATGATGATTTGCAGGCTAGATTGGATAATTTGAGAAGGATGTGAATATGGAAAAGACAACAAAGAAAGTTTTTATATTGAGAAGGATAAGTACATGACTCGTGTGATGTTTGAAATTTACCTGTTGGCATGGTCTGTGATAAGGGAACAGCGGAAAGGACTTTTTGTAGATATCCTGTTTGATTTTTTGAATAGAGATTTTCATTTCATCTCTTTTCTGCATCTATTTTGTACGTGGGTGTGACTTGTTTTTAAAGTCACTTGTTAATTGGTGAACTAAGATTTCTTATAACGTAGAGTTTTATTTAATGTACATAAAATTAAAAAAATAATTTTATTAAAACACTAAAAGCAATTTCGATACTAATAGCGAGTAAAAATGGAAGCAGCTGAAACCGTGAGCGAGAGAGCAATAAAACCGTCGTTCACTGCTTGAGATAAAACGGTAAAGTGTTGCACCTTAGATGGCGAGAGCCCAACAGCCCAAAGTATCACTAGCTTAAACCTCTGATCTCAATGATATGGGACATATGTTTTTTCCTTTTTTGGTTTTTTATTTTTAGCTTCAATGAGCTTTAAGTTCTGTTTTTAGACTTGAAATCAGAATCTGTGAATTCAGGTTCTTCGTCCTGTGGCTTTTTGTCTAAAATCTTTGCAAGTAACCAGTGTCAATTGAGTTGTATGAAACAGCATGCATAATAAAAATGAATTCTCTGACATCCTTTCAGATTGAGAAACTCCAGGCATTATCTATGACCGTCAAGACTATTTAGATTTACCAAGATGCATGCAATTTCTACCTCGCAAATTTGTAAAATAAATATCTAACGACGCAAACAAATATTTTTGTGGTTTCGTACGATACATATTTGTGTAAGACGTCACAGATAAGAGTGAATGCTCCGAACCCACTGAGAAAGGTAGATCCTTGAGCATGAATGATGAACGGAAGATGCCTTTGTCACGAAAAATAAAAGGAAAATTCAATTTTAAATAAGCTGGAGACAACATGCGATACGCGCGCCATATGTTCGACAAAATTCCCAACTCAAAAAATCAGTTCTTATGGACTTCCCTTATACGTTCCCATGTCCTCCATGGTCAGTTCAGCCGTTCTATTCTTTTATACGCTAGAATGCACCGGAAAGGAGTTCTGCCGTCCAGGTTCACCTTCTCTTCTGTCCTCAATGCTTGTGCTCGCCTTCCAGCACTTCTTGAAGGCAAGCAAGTCCACGCTAGAGTTATACAATCAGGTTTCTTGAGTAACAAGGTTGTACTAACTGCTCTACTTGATGTTTATGCAAAATCAGGATTTGTGTTGGATGCTAGGAAAGTGTTTGATATGGTAGACGAAAAGGATATTGTTAGTTGGACTGCAATGATATGTGGGTACACTAAAATGCAGATGATGGGTGAGGCTCGACGCTTGTTTGATCTCATGGGGGAGCATAATGTTGTTTCTTGTACTGCTATCGTTGCTGGGTATGCCAATTCTGGTGAAATGGAAGCAGCAAAGAAGTTGTATGATAGGATGGTGGAGAAGAATTCAATTACTTGGGTTGCCATGATAGCTGGATATGGGAAGTGTGGTGATGTGGGTGAAGCAAGAAGAGTGTTTGACGAGATAAGAGAACCAAACTCTCTGTGTTGGGCAGCAATGGTGGCGTGTTATGCACAGAATGGTTTTGCAAAGGAAGCTATTGAAATGTACGAGGCAATGAGGGAAGAAAAAGTGAGAATCACAGAGGTGGCAATGGTAGGGGCAATATCTGCTAGTGCCCAACTCGGAGACATGGAAATAGCTAACAAGTTGGAACAACATATAGAAGAAGGATGCTGCGGTAAGCCTCTGTCTTGTGACTTGCATATTATTGCTAAAAGGTTGAAGTTGAGATCTTTTTTCTTGTTTTTGTTCCTTTTCTGATTATATTGTGCGTCTACAATTTCAGATCGGACAGTGTTTGTATCTAATGTGCTGATTCATATGCATGCGAAATGTGGAAGCAAGGAACAAGCATGGAGAGAATTCAATAAAATGAAGGAGAGAGATGTGATTTCTTACAGCACCATGATGTCTGCCCTCGCTGATCATGGTGAGTCGGAAGAAGTTTTGAGTCTCTTCTTGAAGATGCAGAAGGATGGAATAAAACCAAACCATGTTACATTTACCACAGTGCTCAATGCATGTAGTCGAGGAGGGCTGGTCGAAGAAGGATGTAAGCATTTCAAATTGATGGTTAAGAATTTCAGAATCGAACCCTTAAGAGAGCACCTCACTTGCATGGTTGACCTCCTTGGAAGGGCAGGGAAACTTGGACAAGCATACGATCTTGTCAAGGAATATACAGTGGCCACTGATGCAGGAGTTTGGACTGCTCTTCTAGGAGCTTCTAAGATTCATGGTAATGCTGAACTGGGTGAGATTGCAGCCAGACATCTTTTCAAAATGGAGCCAGATAATGCTGGAAATTTAGTACTTATGGCGAATACTTATGCATCATTCGATAAATGGGATAAGGCGGAGACAATGAGGACGATGATGAGTAAATATGGAGAGCGAAAATCAGCTGGTTGTAGCTGGATTTCTAGTCTTACACAAAATGAGCAAATGATGGGTAGAAGCAATTGATAACTGCCTCCATTTCCTTCTCTTCGATTTAGTTAAGATCTCTTGTTTATATTGTCCAATTGAAAATTAAAACGAAGTACCTAACCAAATAATAAGCCCAAAGGTAGCCTCAAAATATTAGAACATGTAACTGTTTGTAGGACTAGTTACTTTGTTTTTCAACAAAAAATGTGCTTTAACTCGTATAATACAAATGGTTGAAGACAAATGATAATTACCTAAATTCTATTCTCTGCTTCTCAATTGACTTGTTTATAACATGTAAGACAGGATTAAATACAGTATCTAATCATCGGAAATCAAAGCTGCAAAATACAACATTGCCGCTTGATTTCACTATTCCAAAACAATGCCAATTGTTACTCTTCTTTTTGACATTACTTGTTTTGCCAGACAAGACAACAAGGATCTCATGTTGGCACCACTGTTTATGTCTTCAAGGGAGCCTTCTTCTCTCTATCAGATATTCGAGCAGGAGCTGTTGAATGTGATTTGAAACGGCCTCTCCCTCCTTCCTCTTTTTCCTGTAACATACAAATTATAATAGTTCAATAGCACTTCATTAAAAGTACACTTAACAGAATTGTTAAACAATTTGTGACTCAATTCAATTACCAAAAGTATAGAAACCTGAAATCAAAATTGACATTAAGCAATTGCTTTTTTAATTCAAATGTCAGCCATATTCCAATCAATAACACAATGATATACCCTGAACTACAAGCAATGCATTTATGGAATTCAAAATGGATTCTGATGAAATGATCCAATGATGTGATAAACGTAAAAAATATGAAGCCTTGAGCAATTACTTCGCAGCTTTTATTGTTGGTTATCCATAATTCATAAGCTCCATTGTCTCAGGGAACATATGGTAATTATTATCTATGAACAGAATACTTTTAACTTCATTTCTTTCTTTTGTCTGAACCAAGATATTGATGATACGTTACTTTTTGGTTTTGGAGTAAAAAGAGTCCTGTAGTTGCTAATGATAAATTACTTAGCAATATGTGAAAGAAATTTCCTTCCAGAATTTAATAGTTAGCCACACCTTTTTCTTGACAATCTGAACCACATCCTCGTCTTGAAGAACATGCGAAAGACCACAATGTTGAGGATAGTGTCTTGCACTTGTGCCCCAAACTAGCACATACTTGACATCCTTTACCAAACTCCTATGTATGTGGTTACAGAAATCTTCAACCGTGCAACCACCTCTATCCTATTTAATCCCAAGAAAAAGGAAAAAATGAAGAAAAATAGAGTAGCTGTTAAGTCCATCATATACATACATCAATAGCAGATATTTGCAATCATAGAAGAAAACATGTGAACTTATTTCAGAAAAAAAAAAACATGTGAACTTACAACTGAGAGAACAACAGGATCTGTGAAATCAGGTTGCTGGCCTTGAGGCTTTGTATAGACTCTCACAAGGCCCATCTCATCCCACATCTTTGCAAGTAATCTGTCTAAGTTCAGCTGTATCAAGCAACATGCAACATGCAAATAAATTCTCCCAAATCATTCATGGAATAAGATCAGGTGTTGTATATTTCCAAGATTATTTAGATTCACCAATATGCAATTCTAGGTCAGAATCCATTTGAGAACTTCTAGGGAGAAATATATCCATGAGAAACAGTAATAAACATTTAATTGTATAAAACAAGTATTTCTTTTTTCACCAGCAAAAAAGAAATGAATTACTAGGAGTCCCAAGAAAGCTTTATAAGGGATTAGAGGATTCTGTCGTTGTCACATGTTGCAAACAGACAAATGTGACCTTGAGCCATGCCTCAGTTTAAATTCAACAAGAACTAGAAATGAAGAACCTGCCTTAAGATTGCAACTAATGACGACTGAATTTGGTTGTCGGGCTAACTTATCCACATCATCGATACCAATAACATCAATCTTATTGTAAACATATATACACTTCATGTATTTTCGGTTTCCCTCAATAACATCTATAAGATCATCCACTGTAGCATCCTCACGAAATAGCACCTGCAAAATAATCCATTCGCAAAGTAGCCGTGTCATTAGACTGGCAGAGGATAGCATGGCAGGTACAAATTTTTGGCCCTATCATAGCTTACCCTGTCATCCTACCTACAACTCAGGCGTCAACTGGGCATCCAAATACTAACAATATGAGAGAGAAAAAGCAGAAGAGAGAGAGACACTCCTATCCTCCTAACAAAGAATAAGTATCGTTTTTTAACGCAATTTGACTGGAACTTTTCCAAAAAGATCTGAAACAGATTGCACACCTCTGCATTGTGAATTTTGTATTCATGCAGAATTTGGTAACAAAGTTTCTCATCAACATGAGTCAAGGGTAGAGTACTGTTGAAAGAAATGCCCCCGGTTTTTTTCTTCTTGAAATAAATCTGTCAATGAAGTAGAAAATAAAGCTAATAATCAGTAATCCAATATACAGAGATGTTGGGGGGAAACTTTAAGAAACATGAGGATACATTTTCTACAAGAAAAAGGCAAATCAATGTATCATCAAACAAAACCTTACAGGAAACTAGGCTACCCTGTAGAAAAAGCTAAGATTGGAATTATAGACTAACAGTATAACCTCAAGAAATTCTAAAACAAATATTGGATGCATTCAAATCGTTGGAAATAGAATATTGATAATTTTGAAAGAAACAAATGATGATTCAAATTGAGAAAAACATCCTAACTAGACTTACTTGAGGTGGTCTTTTATTCAAGCGCAAACCCACAGCTTCCAGTTCCCTCGTCAATATTTGCCGGTGCCCTTCACTCTTGAAGGTTCAAACGTGAAGATGTCAGGAAAACAGTTCCAAATCACCGAGAACAACAGCAATAAATATAACTACTAACAAGGGAAAGTTAATGCATACTCCCAAAAAAAAAAAAATACTTTCAGGCAATGAAGCTTCCGAAGCTGGGATGTCCTACTTACATATCACAGAAATCTCTTAACTAATTTAATATGCTTAAAATCTAACATTTACAACGTGAAGAAGTAGAAAGAATGAACATATTGAGGTACATGGACAAGTTGAACTAGCCATTAACATTTTAAATAACCACAAGAGATGTGAATGAATCCTTGTTAAAACAAAGGTCACAGAAGACCAGCAGATCAACTCTTCTCTCTTTCCCCTGTGTTCTTGAAGAATTAGTAAAAAGGTACCCAGGACATTATTTTGCATCTTATTAAGAGGAAATGAAAATTAAATACCCAGGAATTTCAATAAAGTCCTGTACCTATATTGTAAGTCATACTACAATTTTCATTTCCGCAAATTTTTCATTTTGGAGAACAAATTTGAACTCTAGGTCTTAGTGAACAATACTAAAATCTCATGCAATCCATGTCAATAGGTGAGAAATCAAACAAATTTGAACTCTAGTTCTTAGTGAACAACACTAAAATCTCCATGCAATCCATGTCAATAGGTGAGAAATCAAGAAATTTACTAGAGAGAATAATGGTCCATCAGAAAGGAAAACATCACAGTTAAAAAACATAAATACTCACTTTTGATGCATCAAGGACCATCAACACAAGGTCTGAGGACTTTGAAACAGCAATAACCTGAAACATAAAGTCTCATAAAACTTCATGGATTATGATGATAAGCTATCAACATAGGCAAAAAAGATATAAAGGAAAGAACCTAGTGCTAATCCAACAGTCAATGCCAACATAATAATATTTATAACATTTATCAATTGCTATTTAACAAAGATTTCATTAGGATTTTCATTTTTTTCATCCAAGTAATAAATTAATAGTTCCTAAAAAAAATCAATCTTAAGATAAACGGATAATGACATTTTTACCTGCCTCCCTCGTCCCTTTCCTTCAGAAGCACCTTCAATAATCCCAGGAAGATCAAGCAGCTGAATCTTAGTATCATTGTAATGAATTATCCCAGGGATACAGGTAAGCGTTGTGAATTCATAAGATGCAGCTTCTGAGTGGGTGCCTGTTAGCATGGTTAAAAGGGTTGACTTCCCCACACTGAACCACAAGTACAGATGTCAGCTTCAACCGTACTAACAATGGTACAGCAGCAATACCATCAATATTATCACTTCAATAACCTTTTAAAGTCACATGCAAACTAGTAAATGAATCCTGTTCTGCATCACATCAGCCATGAGCACTTTACGTGTTTCTGTTTGAGCATGCATGCGCACATGCATCTATACATAAACTATGTGAAGTTGGTATTACTGAGCATGCATGCCTAGATTCACAAAGCAAGAAACTATCCTCATCTATTTCATATAATTCAAAAGGAGCTAAAAGTTAAGTTTTATGTATTGCCAAAAATCAATGTCCTATAGCCTGTGAAAAAAACAGCTGAAAGCAAATTGTTCTTGAAATGGCCACTACTAAAATTGTGGGACAAAGGTCCATCAAACTTCAAATTTGAAAGCACTCCCCCTATTTTGGTGACAGGTTTTACATAAAAAATTGGAAGGTGCATATGGAATTCAACTTTGCATTAAAACAAGACAAGAGGTCATTAAGGTGACAGACCTTGGAAATCCTATAAGAGCAACCCTTCCATGACCAAATTTTGTAACTTCAAAACCTTCCCCACCTCCACTTGAACCCTGATAGATAAATTTAAAGAAAATATTTTAGGAGAAACAGATGATGACAAGTTGGAGGAAAAGAATGGAAGATACAACCTCCCACTAGCCAGAAAAGGTTACATGTCTACAGTCCATAGTTTGTCATTCATGAAACATTAAATGCAAGACTTGGCACATTTCCTGACACAAGCACCTCAGAAGTCGCCGGTAAAGGGAATGCAATTGGAATCCAGAGAATGATTCTACAGGTTTCTTTATTATGTTTTTAAGCAGGTGTTAAATTAAAAACACAAATATGCCATAAAACCATTTATAATATCAAAAAACAATAACCAATAATTTTTAATTCAAGAAACAGCTTAGTAATCAGTAAAGTAGGTGCCATTACAAGGTTCCCACAATAATCATAATCCTTGTAATCGAAACTATATCAGTGGCGAGGTTCCACATTATCCTATTGTTTCTACTCAAAATTTAGCGAGCCTCAGATTGCACAAATATGAAAGTAATTTCTAGTTAAAAGATCATTTAAGCTTGTAATCAGGCACTAAACACAGAAAATAAAGGAATTTTTTTTTTTATTTCCCTTTCTTTTCTCAGTTTGTTACACCATTCACCAGGCAAATAAATCTTACGCAGCTGTGATAGTGTTCTGAAGTCACTAGTGAGAATTTGCAGACAAGATAACCAATCAGAAATAGATAGATCCATCTAGTTTAACATTGTGAATTCTCAAACTAGTTCACAGAAATATGAAATTCAAAATTCACTAATGTTATTGAAGGATTTATACTATTGGTCCACGAGAAGAGGAGGATATGCAAATATACTCATACAAAATTCTTATGTTTAACCGAGTAAATAAAGTTAATGCATGACATGTTACTTATGCATCTGACCTCATAGTTCTGAATTTCTGATTATGAACTCAAGCAAAAGGACCAAGTAAAGAAAGGAAAGTGAAAAGAGCATGAAATAGATGTATGTTAATCATACAATTTTTGCATCCACCAAAGAAACGATAAGAAATGCTTATGAGTATAGATATAAATTTAATGATTTCAAAATATATCTGATTCACATAATAAGCTTTCATACTTTTGGAGGCTCCAATAGCTGCGTCCTTAACTTTGCAATCTTTGCTTTGAGCTGACCAAGATGATACTCTGCATACCCAGAAGGTAGAGAAAGAGACAGAGAGGAAATAAATGGATTAACCACGCAGGAATACACAGGATAGCAAAGAATAGTGAAACTATAACCGCAATAGATAGACATGAAGAAGAATCTGTTAGACAAAGAGATATTCATATAAAATATACAAAGAAAACCTGTGGCTTTATTTTTCTGGGTCCGGGCCATCTCGGCCTCAATTTCTTTAATCTTCTCAATGATCCCCATTTTCCTTTGATTTTAGCTGCTAATACCAAGCCAAACAACAAAAAGGTGGAAGTTGAGATTTCAAATGCTGTAGTACCACTATATGAACCACTCCAAGTTAGAACCAAAGGAAGGAAATTTTGATTAACATGGAGACCAAGACCAAATATTGAGGCCTAACCAGATACATAAATACCAACAAACAAAATCAAATCAATCAAAGCAACAGAGAATAGAAGATCAAAAGTTAGAATTAGGGTCCTAGTGTCTGCATGCTTCCCTTTCCATGGAATTCGATGGCAACCCAAGTAACAAACAAGAAAATATATTTTGAAAAGAGTAATTATGTAATTAAATTTAAATCCTCGAATTCTACCTTTGCGGCGATAGTAATTAAAGCAAAGCATTGTAGAGAATTGAATCGCCGTTAGATATTCAGGAAAAAAATGAGAAGGCAAAAGGACAGAAGAGGGAGAGAAAGAGAGAGAGAGAGAGAGAGAGAGAGAGAGAGAGAGAGCAGACGTCCTACCGGAAAAGCGATCCAGAGGTGAGATGAGATGCTGGCTGCTACTGGTACTGCTAAAGCGAAGTAACAATGGAATGATTTACGGTAGGGCTTAGAGAATACAGATCAAACTGAATTTCCATGGATTTATAGCCCACAGGGCGCCTGCTGATCATGGCCCATTCTGGTAAATCAATATTAGATTTAGAGAGTAGGCTGCGCAGGGATTATATAATCAAGGATATAATTTGATATATTGTTGTAATCAATTATGGTAATAATTAATTATAGTATAATTTTTAATTTTTCTTTTACACAGTTAACAAAAATATAATATACATTCTCTATAATATGGCTTGAGTTCCCGAAACAATAAAATTTTTAATTTTTATAAAATTTAAGACTCCTACAAAAATCTTTAACAATACAATTAAATTTTAATTAAGGCAATTTTTTTTTATCATACTACAATTTCAAGTTAGTACTAGAATTGAAATAATCTTGTAAAGCAATCTTGTCTTCTAAAATAATGTATATATTTCAAATTATTGTTAAGTCAAGTTGATAATTAAGTATGAATTTAAAATAAAAATAATAATTTAGTATTTTATGCGGCACTAAATTTCTTATTTAGAAAAAAAAAAAAAAAAAATCCTCAAACGGAATGTCCATATTCTAATTGAAATCAGAGTTACACTATGTATGTAAATCTCACAGGAATTTCTTAAAAATAGTACAAGAGAAGTATCCTTTATTCCAGATTTAGACAGCTAAAACCTGTAATATTTACAGTTCTACAAGTAACCTGACCTACTACTTTCAACTACACTTCTACCACCCACACCGACTTCAACCAGCTTGCTCGAGCTAACATTTGGGGGAACCTGTGCCTGCATCTCAGCAAGCTGCCTCACTCGTAACAAAATTGGTGCAGGAATAGGCACCGAAGCATGTTTCCGAGAATTTGCCTGTGCATTATTCACCAAAGATTAGGCTCATTTCAATTTAGAATTGAAAACATCAATGCAGTTTCAATAACATATAAATAAGAGAAAATTTTGATTGCTCACCCCTTTGTCTGAAGGTGCCTGAGCAAAGCTAGCTTTTAGTAGGTTCCGCCACTTGTCCTTCAAAGTGAAAAAGAAAAAATCTATCAGCAGAAAAATATTTCCACTTGCCACAATCAATCCATATGGTCTGTAGTGCTTTGGAAACACATTTGACTCCAGTGAAGAAAACTTATTCGGAGATATGGAACTTAGAAACAGACTGTGATAGATGTACCTTAAGATCCACTGAGGTACGATATGAATAAGATGCAAAGGCAAGTTTTTTGATCTCAGACCACCTTCCAGCTCCATACCTAGACACACCCTCGACTAGTTTCATAACCTCAGAGAGAGTCCAAGCTTGATGATGCTTCCTTCTAAGTCCACCTTTGGAAGTAGGCACAGTAGCTACATTATCATCTGAAGTATCTCCAGATGAATCTACATGTCTATAGCCCACATTGCGCCCCTCAACTGTGCCCACTACTGAGATTTGTCTATTTTTATCAGGTTCAGCAACAAACTAGCGTGGAAACAAGATATCCAATCAGCAAAAATATCATATCAGGCAGCAGATAATTTGAAATATAAGATAACATTCTAGAGAAATTACACGATCAACAGTCCACTCTCTCTCTCTCTCTCTTTCCATGAATGAAAACTCCAATCAATCATGTTAGGCACATTTCAGTCTAATGACAATCTCCCTTAGCCTTTCCTCTTTAAAATGCAAGGTCACTGCTCCAAGATCTTGAATCATATTTAAAAAACAAAGAATATAACCAACTCTCCTAATTTATGCAAATTATTTATTGTTACAAACATAAAGTTATATCTTACATTCCCAGGCCTGATAAACTTTCATAACTACCCATTAACATGCTTCATGTGATTAGTGGTCAGTGTGATTATACTGATACATGTTTATCATATTCCATTTTGACATCCACAAGGCAAGTGAGCCTAAAAGCAATGAAAATACTTTCAATGCAGAAAAATGATCACCAAAAGTCCAAACAAACTATGATAAACATGGAAGAATCCCAGGATGGACTAAAGTACAAACTGAGAAAGGAATATCAACAATGAAATTATATTGAAGTTATTAAACAAAACTTTGTACAGGCTTCAACCAAATAAAACACCAAAACAATGCGTAAAAGCCAATTCAGCAAATGAAACAAGCATATGTTCACCTAACAGACATATATTCTTACTGGTTGCTGAATCTGGGCGGAAGTAGATTTGACTTTGACAACACTGTCGCTGGTCTCGCTATTTGATTGAGGAGCATGCACATCAAAGCCTTTCTTTATGAATGTAGACTTTCATACCCATGTAACTGGGGATGGAATTTCTACAAAATACAATTCAAATTCCATCAATTATCTTATGAATAAGAATTACAATAATGATTTAATAGAATACAGTTACACATTCAGATTTCTCTTGCAATAAAAAATTCCATGTTTGAATCAAAATTGGGCTCGATCTCTCGTAAGTATCCAATGTCTTGCACACGTGTATGTATTTCTCATGGAAAGTATGTGTTTCTGTGGGGATGGAATAGAGGGAGGGGGTCCACCAATATTGATTTATATATATATATATATATATATATATATATATATATATATAAAGAGTAGATTAGTCTGCTTAAGCTTTTAGGAAGACCATTCAAATTTTATTATTTATCATGGTATCAAAGTAAGAAACAGTGCTAAAATCCTGCCTGCAGCACCATTTATATTAATTAATTTCGGCATAAAGTAAGGTGGACCTGTGATCGATCCGTGCTTAGCAACCCAGCACACTTGTGCTTGAGGGGCTTATTCATATATAAATAACAGAATGGGTCATTTACTACAAGTTCAAACTTTTAGAAAAATTGATTCAACTCTATTATTCAATAACCCTGAAACTACTTAAATTTGTTGAGTGAAAAAATGAGAGGGAGAGAGAGAGAGGACGGGGTGGAGGGCAAAATTAACTGTAAAACTACTGTCAAGCTTGTACAACAGTACAAACTCAGGCAGAATCAGATGTGGATACCAATAAAATAGGTGATCAATTTAGTAGCAAGGTGAGTTTGGTGAATAAAGAAAAGTAATGTACTTTAAACAGTATTTTTAGTTTGAAAAGTTTTAAGAGGGACAAAAAAATCTAAAATGTAGTTCATGAAATTCAGATTTTCATACCATAAGAGCCATAATATTTTTTCTTGGACGGCTTCTTCTTATCCGACAAACACATGGAACCTGAATCCCAGATCCCCCAAGGGACTCCACCCTCGTAACAACAGTTCTTCCATCTGACAAGACATTTCTAACAGGCCTGACATGAGATTTTGGGGTCAATAGCCCAACCCCTGAAAATTTTCCTGAAGCAGTTAACTTCCCACAGTGATCTTTTGGTTCTGCTTCTGAAAGTTCTTCGATATATCTCCTTGTGGGCTTTCTAACTCTTTTTGCAGCTCTTTCTTCTAAGTGAACATCTCCGCTTCCATGCTCAAAATCTATTCCATAGTTTTCCAATCTCTTCTCCAAAACATTCTGACAGTCCTCCATTTTATCACTTGAACCATTTACTGAAGCTTTGGAATTGTCACTACTGGTCCCCTCAGCTTGGTCCTCGGCTACAGCACCATTCACATTGTTACAGCTTTCTTCCTTTCCTTTGTTCACCAATTTGTTATCCTTAATTATAAAACTTGTGGTTGAAACATCACAAGAATTAGTCAATCCCATGGCAATCCTTCTTTTAAGCCATTGCTTATCTTTGACAGTAGTTTCTCGTCCAAAGGTTGCTTTAAATGTTTCATGAAGTTCTTTAATTGATAGATTGTCCAAACATATTTCCCCTTGTACTTTAGAAAAATCAGGTTTTGAACTAGCATAGACACCAGAAGTTGATGGTCCACCTTCTCTTGGTTCATCTGCATGGTTAAAGCACTCCCCAACACAACTGGGTTGAGTAGAATGACTGCCGGCTGAACTCCGTGCTAAGGAAGGAAGAATTTCCTGCAAGGGAAATTCAGATTGGAGCTTCTCATCAATATCAGACAATTTATCAAGCTGATCAGAACACTTGCTGTCTACATTCATATAAGCAGAAAAATGATCAGGAGATCCATGTGCTAAGCGGAGCCTCTCTTCCTGTTTGACCTTTTGCAAGATCTCCTCGATGTACTACAAGAGATTTTATGTCCAAGTAGGATCCAAGAAATTAATGGTTAAATTAATGCCATAATAAATTCAAGCCAATCTCATGTTTGCTGACACCAGAAACATCAAAGGAAAATGGTTTTTTTGTGACAGCAGTTCCAGTGAGAAAAATACTAGTCATGGATATCAAGAAAACTGAGATACCTCAAGTCGCGCATTTAATTTTTCTGCACTAGCTTCTGTATTCTCAGCTTGTGATAAACCTGCCATATAGTGCTCATTAAGACAAGGAAAATGTATATAATTTAACAATACAGAAAATAAAAATGTTTGGACAAATATGGAAATAGCTAGACGAAAGTTGGGACAGCAGCCCAGCAAGAATAAAATTAAATTCATAATGCCCTAGAAGGCC